TGTCTACAGACTGCCAAGTACAGTACCTATCATACCCCCACATCAAAACAGCTTTTTAAATGTAGATTGTTTTGCTCAACTGAGAATACAACACAATCTGATAGTGCTTTCCAGGCATAGTCCAGTTTTGGCCCTTTCTCTGAAATATTTCCCCACAGGCTAAGAGTTGCGTGACAGTCACAGCCTTTACTTAACCAAGAATTAAGGGTTGGGACCTCTGTTTATACTATTATAATGGGTACTTCAATTTAACCATTTAATGGGTTAATTGACCATATAAAGTGGACTAATTGAGAATTAAACTGATTTTCATCATTTTAATGTCTAGATTGATGGTTGTATTATAATTTGTAAATTTTAAAGTTATTGTTCCTGAAAAGCCCCAATGGGGACTCTCAATAAGGTATGTAAAGCATGCATTCATTTGAGACAGAAATCTTTGCCCTAATAATGAGTTGAAATTATTGATGTCTTTATTAACAGATATGTAGTCCTCACTAGCAAACATCATGAAGGATGGACAAATTAGAGGTCAAACGTATCATGGAACTGGAACTCTGTTGACAATGGACCTCACAGGGATCTTGTGGGTAAGGTCATTATGCACTGCATGGTCCATTTTGCCACAATTTTTTTTCAGTTTGACACTGATATGATTACAAAATTCTAGTTGATAATGAGCATTTCCAATAGTGTATGCTCTGATCTATGGTAAAATTCTCCTTCCTGTCTCGAGACAAACTAAAGAGAGGGTGAGAATTGCCACATAATCTGATATTTTTTATTTCATGTAAATGCATCTGTCACATCCTGGTAGTTTAAATCTTCATGACACCAAACATTTATGTTTCAGGTGAATTTTCACAAGCCATAAGGAAAAATACAAATATCACACTTGGTTTGTACCATTCACTGTATGAGTGGTTTCTTCCTTTTTGCATGAAGGATTTTGCAAATAATTTCACTATTCAGGATTATGTAAATGTAATAATTATTACACTGAGTGTCTGGTGTATGTTAATTAATTTTTTTAAGTAGAAGACAACCCTCCAAGTTAACTTTTTTCCTTAGTGGCCATTTGGCCACTGACTGTTCAGGTTTGGTCGC